CCACCCCCTCCCTCCCACCCCACCCCTACTCCAGCAACCCTCAGTTTTTCCTGAGATTAAGAATTGACAGGAAGGAGTTTTGAGGGTTTTCTGTTCCCTGCTATATTGTCAGCTCCTGAGACACTGCTGGGTTAGTGGGTATTTGTTGAAGAAGAGCTTCTTGAAGTTCAGTCACACGATGCGTTAAAAAGCCAGATTCCTGCCCTGTTAGGTCTGTGGAGGTGGCCCAGCATGTCAAGCCCAGTGTGTCACCTTGTTTGCTGGGTCACAAGCAGGTCCGAATGAGGTGGTTATTAATTGTCATTTGAGGTTTTGCTATTCCAGGGATTGGTCCTACCACACTGATCCCGTATGTATCATACAAGTAGATAGAAATACAGTTCATAACACTTTAATTTTTAGAAACTGGTATATTTTTGGAAATGGATATAAATGATGGTTTTGTAATAGCCGGAAGAAGATAGCTTAGGACGTGGTTTGCACACGTGCCCTGTCTAGCGAGTAGCTCACACGTCTGCACCCCTGCAGTTCGTGGACCTGCCTGGTGGACCTGGAGGGACTCAACATGCGCCACCTGTGGAGACCCGGTGTCAAGGCCTTGCTGCGCATCATAGAGGTGGTGGAGGCCAACTACCCGGAGACGCTCGGCCGCCTCCTCATTCTCCGCGCTCCTCGTGTGTTCCCTGTCCTCTGGACGCTGGTGGGTGTGGGTGCTGGTTTGGGGAAACGATTGGCCACTCAGAAGGTGGAGAGGTGTGCATTCGTATCCCTGTGTCTGTTCGTCTGAACTAGTCAGGAAATAACAAATGTGGAAAGATACACACTTTCTCAAATAATTTAAGGGAAGGAAGAATTCATGAGAGTCCTTTTGTCACGCAAATAGACTTTACGGAAAAAGTGTATCACGCTTCCTACCCCTGCCCCCACCCACCCACTCATACTGTCACACGGTAATTTTAATCCTTGGAAATCAGACAGCAAAACAAAATGACCACGTGGTCCTTTCTCGTTACTTACAGGTTAGTCCATTCATCGATGACAACACCAGAAGGAAATTCCTGATTTATGCCGGAAATGACTACCAGGGTCCCGGAGGCCTGCTGGACTACATTGATAAAGAGATTATTCCAGATTTCCTGAGCGGGGAGTGTATGGTATGTATTTAGGCAAGCAGCTGTACGTCTGGCTGCTTCACAGGGGTAGGAAAGGTGGGTGTTGGTTGGTACAAATGATTTTCAGAACTTTTAGTTTGGATTATTGTTTTTTGTTTTGTTTTGTTTTTCTTTTTTTTGCTGACATTTTTCTGACCCAGGGTTAAACTACATAGAACCGTTTAGGTAATGGTTGACAAATGCACGTTTCTTCATTGTTACTTGCTAATGAGAATTTGTTTTAGAACCTAATATAATTGCAGCTTGCTTTATTCACTCAGCTTTGTGTGGATCAGATTTCTTAATAACTATTTTGAGGAGCTATGCATTTTATAGAAACACTTTTAAAAACTCAAAGTGATTCTGCAGGATCTCCTCCTTGACAATAAATAAGGATAACATTTTGAAGGGGACACATTAAGGGAAATACTTTTATAATCTGGGGTTTTTGATACATGGCGTTGCTAGGGTATCAGGCAGCCATGTCCACTTCTATGCCCTGAACTGTGATGAGGGGTCCTTGAGGACCTTACAGCCTGCAGGGCGTGCCCTGCTGACACGAGGGCAAGGGAGGCCAAAGGCTGCAGAGGCCCAGGTGGCTTCCTGAAGTGACAGCAGAAGCCAGAGGGGAGTGTGGTTCTCCTTAGAGAAAGGATCTCTATCATCTTCATAGAAAATAGAGTTTCCTTCTGAGATGTGACACACTGGATTTGATGCACGTATTTACCTAACGAACCCGGTTTTCAGGGGAGTCTCGGGTTGGTTAGAGGAGTTTGAACAGCATCCGGATTCAGCTTTCAGGGCCTCGGTCCTGCTGTCAAGAACTGCAGACATCAGCACGGCGTGGTACCAGGTTGCCAAGGAGTTGCCGGCCCCTCCCTCACCGAGGGCCATGAGATTAAACCGGGAGGTCCGCTGTGTAGCGACCCACAGGCAACTTCCGTTACGAACGGTCCCAAGTGCTTGGTCCTTCTGACGGTGAGCTGGAGCAGAGGGAGACCTGACTCACAGCACATTGGACCGACCCTGATGTGCTCCCCACTGTGAGAGTCCTCCTCATTCGTCCGTGGGTCCAGGCTCTTCTCGGCTCTCCTGTGCTCCCTGCTTCCCTGCTCCGGGTCCGTCTGAGGTCTTCCACCGGAGACTGTCTCTGGGTCACCGCCTCCCAGGGCCAGTAGTGCAAGAGGTGCTGGGATTCTGTGAACTTCAGTATTGAGTCACTAGGTCAAGGTCAACTAGGAAATGTATGAAGTATACAGATTTTAATTCAACCCAGCCTGTAGTTGCTAAGAATAAAACTTTTCTTCATACCATTTTCTCTTTACAGTACAGTGTAACTGCTTGTAATTCTCCCAAGAACTAGAGTTCCTAATGGGGTCCAGCACCTCACACTTAGTAGTGTAAATTCTGTGGTAAATTAGCTTCAACATGTTCTCATTTAGTTAAACTAAGACAGGTAGATTTAAGAGGTTTTAAAAATTTACATTGCTGAGTCATGCAGAAGCTGTTGTACATTGCCAATGTGTTCCATTCCCTAAGCAGCTGGGGGCGTACGGGCCTTGATGGAGTGTCGGCTTTCAGGGGGTCCCTTCTGTGTGCACAGCTTTTACTGCTATGTTTGTGTTTCCAGTGCGAAGTGCCCGAGGGCGGACTGGTCCCCAAGTCTCTGTACAGGACTGCAGAGGAGCTGGAGAACGAGGACCTCAGGCTCTGGACCGAGACCATCTACCAGTCTGCAAGCGTCTTCAAAGGAGCCCCGCATGAGGTGCGCCGCCCGCACCCAGGGCCCGGGGTGGCAGGGCCCCTTCTCCCAACAGACACTTTCTTCGGCGGGTCTTCCCAATAGGATTTACTTTAGAAGAATCAAATGGTTTTTCTGGTCTTTGTCTTTAGATTTTTGTTGTTGTTGTTGTTGTTTCAGATCTTTAGTTGAGGTAAAAGTCTGCACTGACGTACAGGCATCTCACGGGATCTGCTCCTGGAAGGAGGTTAGGCCTGGTGGCCTCTGCTTTACCAGAGACCCCTGAGCACAGGAATGAGTTGCGTGTGGAAGGGTTTTCCTGTGGAAGATTGTTGACTCTCAAATCTAGTTTATTTAACGATTATGTAGGGCTGGTTTCATTTTCTGTTTTTTCGTGACCGGGCTTTGATTATTTACATTTTTTAAGGGATTTGCACATTTTTGTAAGTCATATGGAGTGAGGAGAAAGTAGCACATCTCTGTTTTCCCTTCTTGCTGTCACACTGGGTGTGGAAGCAAGAGTATTCCTGTGTTTTGCAAACGCTCTGTGTCCTGTGACATTGTGAGTGGTCTGAGCGGTGAGGGCTGACAACCAAGGCACCTTTCCTGAGCTCTGGGCAGATTTGTTTGTGCCTCAGGGGTCGTTGCTGAGGACGGGGGCGCTGGGCACCGAGCCAGCGTTCAGTGCGCAGGGGCTGTGGGCTCAGGCTGTTGGTGGTAGCCGGGAGCTGACCCCTTATTGCCATCCGCCATTTGTCCTTGCTGGCCTGTGTTCTAGCATGGCCGGCCCATCCCTTGTGGGGCAGGTGGGTACTGTTGCTGTGTTTGAACAAGTAGAGGCAGATTTGGTCTGCCTCATTCGTAGATTCTGTAGGGGAAGTCTCAGATTTTCATGACTGTGTCTTGAGGATTATTTATATTAATTCCTTATTTGGAGACCAGGCTTGAGGAGGTGGAGTTCTTATTTCTCTTAGGTAACTCGCTCGTCTCTGGTAGGGAACTCCGTGGCATAGGGCGTTTCTTGTGCGTCACAGGGTATCTGTGAAATGTGAAAGTTTTCTACATCAGAATGCTAAACCCTGCCTTGGGGGTGAAGTAAAACACAAATCAGGGACACAAGAGCCCTGAAATAAAGGCTGAATTCAGTGTCCCCACGGTAAGTGCAGGAAGGAGGGTGCCTGTCAGCAGAGGGGGCTGCGTCCCGGGAGATCTCGGCCCTTGGGGAGCCACTGTGCTGCGGAAGGCCCGTCGCTATTCCCAGACAGGACTCTTGTGCTCCGGGGAGTCTGCTCTTCAGGGAGATTCCGAGTTGGTGAATGTGTGGTGAGAAGTAGCAGTGGTGGAATCGAGGAGTCTGCCTGACTGACGACAGGCGGCCGAGCGCCGAAGAGCAAGCAGCCAGACGGGTCTCGCAGGGGGGCACGGCCTCCGCTGAGGTCTCACAGCTGGGTTCAGTTCTCACATCCCTCCCACAGTAATGTTTTAAACTCTCTGACTTTGATCATTCCCTGCTGCAAACCCTTCCAGGGGCTCTGTTAGGAAGTTTGGGTTTTGGGTTGGCACTCAGTCCCCGGGGCCGCGGCCCCTCCTCTGCCCCGGGCCACGTGGCTCTTTTCTCCCCACGCTGCCACTGTTCCTTGAGAGTCTGTCCCCTCCCCCTGCCCGGAACGCTTCCTCCTGTTCTTCCATGTGCCCTTTATTTAGCTCCCACCTTCTCTGGGACTATCCTTGTGCTCATCCACCTAGAACAATCCATGGAACCACTTCTGTACCATCTTGAGTCACTTCTGCTCTGTGTTGTTAAGGCATTTTTACAGCCAGGAGCCAGTGTGTCCGAGTGCTACGGATCGTGCAGTGGGAAGTCTGGGCTGTAGGTGCAGCTGAGGGAGAGCACAGAGCTTGGCACGTGACATGGAGCAGGAAGGTTGGGAGGAGGGAGAGCAGGAAAAGCTGGGTGGCAGAACGGTGGGTGCGGGTGAGGACACAGTTGGTGGGACGTGTCTCCCTCCCTCCCACAACACACACGGCTGGGCCCAGAAGCTCCCCCAAGGACGAAGCTGCCACAGTGTCAGCACGGGACTGGGGGGCTCGTGCTTGCCTTGGTTGCTTAATGCACTCTCTTTTTCCAGATCCTCATTCAGATTGTGGATGCCTCTTCAGTGATCACTTGGGATTTTGACGTGTGCAAAGGGGACATTGTCTTCAACATCTACCACTCCAAGAGGTCGCCCCAGCCTCCCAAAAAGGACTCCCTGGGGGCACACAGCATTACTTCCCCAGGAGGGAATAACGTGCAGCTAATAGACAGAGTCTGGCAGCTGGGCCGTGACTACAGCATGGTGGAGTCACCTCTGATCTGCAAAGAAGGGGAAAGCGTGCAGGTAGAGCCATCTGTGACTCTCTACAGCTTGGGTATTTTGTCTTCAAAAAGAAGGGTCTTTTGCTTCATTGCTGTCCTGCGCGGCTGGCACTCTGTCTGCGGGGAGCCCGCAGGGGTGTGCGGCGTCAGTTACGGTCAGAGTGACCCAGGAAGCCCCACTGAGACTCCGAAGAGAAGGAACTCAGCCCTGAGCAGGGGTTTTGGAATGAATCCATAACTTTTATCTAAAGTGCATGAGTTTTCTTCAGAAGTTAGTTTCACAAGAGCGACGTGGAAGGAAGGGAGAGGCATTCGGTGCACGTGGACCGCTGGGACCCAGACTTCACTGAGAGGACAGTCACCCCAAATAGCAGGGAGACAAGCCAGTGCTGAGGGGGCTGTTAGCCGTCATTACTGAGCATTCTCATTCATTTAAAAATGCTCTGTCAGTTCATTTTTCACATTTTGGCCCGTTATTTTGAGTGCTTGTACTAAGAACGGTGGTTCATGGGTGCTTCTGGCCTGCATAATAGATGCATGATTTTGCTGCCTTTACAGTTTTCAGGGATGAGCCTGTCAGTGTTTGGTGGTCTGAGAAGTAGAATAAAAGAGAGTATTTTATTTAGTTTTAAAAGTAATGGATGGTTTAAGCTTCAGAATTAAATGAAGAAAGTAATTTTCATAGGTTGACATTGTACTTCAGAGTGCCATCCTTTTAACCAGAATGCTCTAGTAAGATCATTGGAAGCAGGTCCAGGCGAGCACTGCCTGGTCAGATGATCTTTCTGGACCCCCTTAAGGCTGAATGAAGGGCCCCCTGAGCTCTTTCGTCCCGCCTCTCCAGGCGCCTGCTTCTGTTGTGGCCTTGCCCCCTCCCCCCCAAAAGCTGCAAGTCCCTGGGGTGGGCAGACACGGAGAGCCCCTCCCCGAGGCCTGCGCAGCTCTTGGGAGGGGCCTCGCTGCAGGGCCGGAGGCCGCACGGGACTGGCCCCTGAGCGAGGAGTTGGTCCTCCAACCACGGAGGTGGCCGGCCGTCGCTGCTGAAGCTGAGTAGGCCCGGGGAAGCCCACAGGTGGTGTCCGCCAGGGTCCATGGAAGGTAGGGGCTCGGAAGTAAGTTCTCAGGCGGTGGTGCCTGACTCGTTCCAGGGCTCACACGTGACAAGATGGCCGGGCTTCTACATCCTGCAGTGGAGATTCCACAGCATGCCCGCGTGCGCCGCCACCAACCTGCCCCGGGTGGACGATGTGCTGGCCTCCCTGCAGGTGTCGTCCCACAAGTGCAAAGTGATGTACTACACCGAAGTGATCGGCTCCGAGGATTTCCGGTACGGGCTCCCCACCCCCAGGGCCACCGCAGCACCACGGGTGTGGGCAGGGGGGCTCCGCAAGGATGGTGGGGCTCGGGGGCGGGTGGGAGTGGCCTTTGGGCCATCTGTCGTGGCCGGTTGATGACGTCATCTGTGGGCCGGGCCAGCAGGGAGCCACGGTTCTGGGAGAGCCTGCTTTGTGAGTGCTGTGGGGGCCGAGTGGGCCGCGGGGAGCGAGGGCGGCCCGCAGTGGGGTCCTCACGCCTCGCCCCTCCCGGTGCTGTTTGCAGAGGCTCTATGACCAGCCTGGAGTCCAGCCACAGCGGGTTCTCCCAGCTGAGCGCCGCCACCACCTCCTCCAGCCAGTCTCAGTCCAGCTCCATGATTTCCAGGTAGTGCCGCAGCGCCCGTGCCCAGGGCGCGGAGGGGACAGCGCGCCTCCTCGGACAGCCTGCCGCGTTCCGCCACCCGCCCGGCGGCCACACTGTGCAGACTTCTCACCCTCTAGGTAGCAGATAGCTCTCCAGATGGCACATGTAGTGCTTGATCCCAGACTGTCTCGACAGGTAGTTGTAACTCTAACTCCATAGCCATAGATTTTGTATACAGTGTGCACAAAATCAAACCAGAGCACAAGGGCTCTCTTGAAAGAAAAGTAGTTTATATACAATTAAGAGGTTGACTTCGTCTCAAATGTTGATGCAAAAAATGTTTCCAGCAACCTCCACACCCTGTCCGTTAACGGATGAATTCCTACACCATCCTTCAGAGGTGACCCACCTTCCTACACGGGGCAGGAACCACCAGCTCGTCCCCACACCACGTCACAGTGTCACCCTCTGCTGTTAGCCGGCATGGCCCACAGATCGAGGGGCCGCCCACTAGGCCCCTGTCCTTCGAGCAGCGCTGCTTCCGTGGGGAGCACTTGGGGGCAGCCTGCAGGAGCACCTCGCTTGGGCCCCGCGGGCGGGTGACCCGCTGTCCTGCAGTGGGTGCGGGTGGGCCCGGGGGCTCTCGGGGACCCCCCCCCCCCCACGGTGCCAGGAGAGCACCACCACCATTAAACAGCTTCTCTTTCCTGCTTTCCACATCTTTCTGGTACTTTCAGAGCAGGATTTTTCTGTATGTGAACTCGCGCGGAAGGGATTCTTTCCCTTTTCCTTCTGGTATGTTCTTACCTGCAAATGCTAGTTCTGAACTCACTCTAGACTTAGGTCCCCTCTGCCTCCTCTTAGCTTGATAGCGTCAGAGCCCATGCGGTCTTTCTAGTCACTCGAAGGCTGTTGTGACGACTCAGTCATGTTTGCCATTTTGAAGTTGTCCAGTGTCCATCTGCGCTGATGAGTGTTCTTGCCATGCGGCCGCTCCAGGAGAGCATGCGGCTTACAGGAGCCCCGCTGCTTCATAGAAGGACATTGCCTACGTGTGGGGGGCGTGCGCGGCAGTGGGGGCACACGCGTGTGAGTGAGGCAGCGCGTGGGGGGTGTTTGGAGTGGGTGGCAGTGCGTGGGGGCACACGTGGGTGAGCGTGACAGTGTGTGTGGCACGTGTGTGCAAGTGTGGCATTGGGGGGCACGTGAGGGGGGGGGGGCGGGGGGGGGGGGGTGTGGGTGGGCATCAGTGTGGTGTTGGTGAGAAATGGGGCAAGTAGAAAGTGAGATAAGTTACAAGGGATTCTTCTTCGAAGCAAATCAGAGTATGAGCTTGGTTTGCCTTCTTTGTTTTGTTTTTGATTCCCAATTCTTGTGTTGGCCCATGTTTTTTTCAGCTTTTTATGGGAAAAGCAGGTCATTTGCGAATCTGTCTGGATGTTGCGTAGGGTCAGCGTTTGTGATAAGGATGTGATGTGTGGTGTCGTGTGTTGGAAGAGGCTGTGTTTTTAAAGATATGTGCCACAGCCCACGTGGCCGTTAGCGGCAGGTGTGAGAAGCACGGAAGCCTGGGCCGCATTGCTTGCCATCCGCTCTCGAGGCCCGAGGTGGGTGGCTGCAGGGTGGACAGGTGTGGGCGCCGCGGGCGAGCCCCAGCGGGCTCGTGAGGAACGCCGGGTCAGGGAGGCCCCCGAGGCGGCCCGCACAACTGAAGACTGGGCTTCTCCGTGGTCGCCGGCCTTCCCGGAGTGTGTGGCCTCTGAAAAGATACGCTCGCCATTGGCACCTAAAGCCTTGTTTCCAGAAAGCACAGTAGGGTTGGTTAGTGCCCCTGTGCTGCTTCCGATCAGTGCTTCCTGCTTCTAAATTATAAGGACCTGAAGATGGTCCCTTCCTTCTTTCTTTCTTTCTCTCTCTCTCTGTGTCTCAGATGGCGATTTTGCTGACAGCTGCCAAGAAAACGCTTCCCTCCACAGTCCACCTCAGCCCAGGGATGTCTGTAGAACTGCTTGAGTTGCAGCCATTCCCTCCCCCTCCCCCAGTCTGAAGACGTGTTCGTTTTAAGTTGGCTCAGAAGTGGCACTGTCTTGTCCCCAGAGAGTTGAATGCGTCTCTCAGAGTTCAAAGCACATCACTGCGCAGACGCCTGCAGGGTTCCTCATGAGTGACACGGCACCTGCTTCTCCTTGGAGGGGGCCGCGGGCGCCCGGACCCGGACTCTGCCCCTACTTCCAGTGCCCTGCGCTCTCGCACTCCGCCTTTCTCCTGCACTAAGGGTTCTTTTGATTTCCCCTCTATTACTAGTGTCTTAACTCACTTTTCTTCCTAAATTCATTATTTGCATATCAAATTCTGTAAATGTTTTGTAAACATATTACCTCACTCTTGGTAATACAATACTGATAGTCTTTAAAAGATTTTTTTACTGTTATCAATAATAAACGTGAACTGTTTCAAGAAGAGAATGTCTCTTTCTTCCTGTGAAACGTGAAGCATCAGCCTCCCTTGGAGTGTGGACTGAGCAGATGTGGGGTGGTGAGCAGGTGCGTGGATGTCCGCCCATCCGTAGCTCAGTCTGAGTTTGAGTTTGTCAGCAAGCGAGAGAGGTGATGTGCGTCATTCCCGCCTCAGCAGCACCTGTGTTGCTCACTGAGGCCTCGGCGTGTTGCCGGAGGAAGGGCAGGGTTTACACCAGTTCCTTTCGGGCTCTGAGTTCTCTGCCTGCCCTCCTGTCAGGCCTGCTCTTACCAAGCTGTTGGGTTAGCATCGGATTCTCACGGTGGCGGCAGGAGAAATCACGTGTTACCTGGTGCTGTCTCGGCCGTCTCAGAACGTAGTGAAAGTGGGATGTCCTGAACGACGGTCCCCGTGTTCTTTTGGGCCGCCGGACCTTGAGTACGTATTTCTCCTTAAACACATCCCTTCGTTTCATACCTGAGCACAACCGTAGGGCGCCTGTCAGTTCTCCGGTCAAGGCAGAGGTGTTCTCGGTAAAATGTTGTCATGACAGACCAGTGAATCGGTTTTTGTTTTTTTTTTTAAGATTTTGAGTGAGTGAGAGAGCACAAGCAGGGACAGCAGCAGAGGGAGACGGAGAGGGAGCGGCAGACCCCCAGCTGAGCGGGGAGCCTGACGTGGGGCTCCATCCCAGAGATCCCAGAACCCCGGGATCGTGACCTGAGCCAAAGGCAGACACTCAACTGACTGAGCCACCCAGGCGCCCCCCAGTGAATCAGTTTTGTTTGAAAGGGCTTTGGAAAGCAGGGGTTCTGGGAACGGGGTAGTGGCATCCCGTGTAAAAACAGCAGCTAGACTGCCAAGCCTCAAACCTGCAGCCATCTGAATTGTGGGCTTAAAAGGGGTTAAAATGGCAACGTTTGTTACTTATTTTCTACCACAGTGAAAAACCGCTATGGACAGCACTCACAGTCTAGGTGATAAGGTATCTGCACAAACCCCGAACAGAGGCACCAACCAGCAACGGTCATAGGCCCCAGTGTTCAACAGTGTTCAGTCTGATGGACGGGAGCAGGGCCTGGGCTAAGCCCTCCTTCCGATGGTGGATGCCAGGGCCGTGGGCAAGGGGCCCGTGGGGTGGGGCGGTCGGCCCCTTGGAGCTTCCAGCGCGGCCTGACGGGGCTCCCCGCCAGGAGGGGTCCCACACTGAGGGAAAGCCACCGGGAGTGGAATGAAAGCTCAGCAGGACGGGGCCGACACGAGGGGGAGAAGGCGGAAGCAGGGCCGGAGCCGGGAAAGCTCCGTGCGTGGCTCCGTGCTCTCCACGACCGGTGTGGCCGCCGCCTGCCACGACACCGTCACGGTGCCGTCGGCACCCCCGTGCCGGGGTCCCTCTGGTCTCCGTGACTGACCGACTTGGTGACTGGAAGTCTGTGCTTCGCCGCCCCCGCCCCCTCTGGCGACCACCGGCCCTCTGGGTGGGAGAGTCTCTGTTCTGGGCTTTTTTTAAGGAACCCAAAGACATCAAGAGAGTAGACGTGACAGGAAAGAATGTATTAGAAAAGCTCAGAAACAAAGTGACAGGAATTAGAAATGAATGAAACCACTTCAGAAATTCAGATGGAGTTAGGACGTAAAGTGGAGGATGCCAGGGGTAAGGCTCTAGGGGGAATCAGACAAGTCAGGAAGTACAGAGGTGAAGAGATGTCGGAGGGGACACGGCTTGAGGGTGAGCGAAGCAGGAAGCCCAGTCCCCAGAGATACTTCGGTGAGACTCAGGCAGCCGGGGCGACCTCAGGCTTCCCAAAGGCTGGGCTTTGTGGGGGAAGAAGTAGAATAATTGGGATTTTCAAGGAAAGAAAGAGGAAGCCTCGGAGTTTCTAGCCAGCAGCACGGCACATCGGGGTCAGGTGGCCGCACGCCCTCCTGCCCGGTCCGGAGAGGGTGCCAGGGTGCCGGGGGCGACCGAGGACGGGGGCCTTAGGGCCAGCGAGGCTGCAGAGGGGAGAGGGGGGTACGTGTTGGCTACCGCCCTGTGTCTGTATCAGACAACTTTTTCAAAAACGGGGCAGGAAACAGGGGCAGCGTACGCATAAGTTTCTGTCTTTCATAACCAGTGGCAGCATTCCCATGGGTCAATCTGAGAGTCTTGGTCTGTGATACGGGTGCGTCTGTGCGGGACCAGCCCAGCCGCAGTGAGAGCCCCCAGCCCCCCCGTGGTGGTTTCGTCACGGGAAGCCCCGTGGGTGTGGGGGAGTCCGGCAGCTCCAGGGGGCTGAGTCGTTTGTTGGACCCATGCACTTTTCTAGATCCCTGTTTTACCTTATAAAACAGAGGTTTGTGGGTGGTGGTGTTTTTAGTTAGGGTTTTAGACAGGTAATTTGCCTCGAGGGACAGTAACACCGGCTGTCTTGCTGGGACTCAGGCTTGCTTTCCTTTGTCCAGATCACCAAAGCACCAGTTGGGGCTGCTGAGGCCTGCAGCTTCTGTCCCATCCCGGGCTTGTGTGTGCAGGACAGCGAAGCCGAGCCCACTCGGCTGGCGGCAGGTGACTGCGAAGCTCAGCGCTGCTCTCCAGGAGGACGTCTGAGAGGCCGGTCCCATGAGAGTCGAGCCCCTTGCCCGTGCTTCTCCGATAGAAGTGGCTAGACCTCTCCTGCTCTGACCTTGCCTTTGGGTTTAAGAACTCGGTCTCCAGGACCCGTGTTGACACCCACTGGGAAACAGTCATGAGCCCTCGGATATGCAAATCACTGAGCCTCCGTGCATCAGCCCAGCTGCTCTGTGTCCTGTGACCCGTGAAGGAGAGAACAATCTGCGGCCTGCTCTCTGGGCTATTTCTGGGAACCAGCGAGGGGCAAGAGGCCTGGCTGCAGGGAGGAAGGCGCTCCCAGCTCCATCTGTAGAGCAGCGTGGGTCCGTGGAGTTGAACCCAGTCTACACCCATGATCTGACAGTCCTGGTGCTACAGCCAGAGTGAAGCCCAAGCTCAGCCACCCAGGCCACTGAAGCTCAAGGTAGTCCCGGCTCTGGCCCGGGAAGTCCCTCCCGGATGCCACCTTGTGGCCGCATGGGAGACACGGCACCCTCCGTTGCCAGCTGGGGTGGTGGTGACGTCCTTTCTCCAGCTCTGCCCTGCAAGTCAGAGCCATGGGAGGACATTCTCTAGCCCTCATGTCTCCGGAAATCTCTCAGAAGGGGTGCCATAGTTAACGTGTCAGTTTGGCTGGGCCATGCGGTACCCAGATATTTGGTCAAACATTATCCTGGGTGTTTGTGTGGAGGTGCTTTTTTGCACGAGATCAACAATGACATGGGTAGAGTGAGTGAAGCAGATCGCTTTTCCTAATGCAGGTGGGTCTTGTCCAATCAGTTGAAGTCCTGAATAGAACAAAAGGCTGCCCTCCCCAAAGGAAGAGAGGATTCCCCCTGCCTAGTGGTCTTCAAACTGGGATATCAGCTTTTTCTTGCCTTCGGACTAAAAAGTTGTCTCCTTCTGGGTCTCAAACCTGCTGGCCTTTGGACCAGAATAATACCATCAAGCCCTCCAGAGTCTCCAGCTTGCCAACTGCAGATCTTGGGACCTGTCAGCCGCCGTAATCGTGCAAACTCATTCCCTACATCAGAACTCCTTCTGTATATGCGTTCTCTTGATTCCGACTCTCTGGAGAACCCTGACTAATACAGGAAGTGTACTCCGAAACCCTGGAATTGCAAAGCCTTTGACTTTTACAAAAAACCTGGTTAATCTGGAATCATCTTTCTCTGGTTTGTGTGTATGTGTTTTGGTTTAGGATTTTTTTTTTTCCATCAACAGGCTTATTTTTCTAAATGGAGAATAAAATTACGGACTGTTAAAGTTGAGTTGGGAAAGACTAAAATGGTCTAGTTGCAGCTCTTGCAGCTTAAGGATGGTCAAGCCCGGAGCGGGGAGGGGGCTGTACCTGAGCAGGTGGCTGCGAGTCCAGCAGGCTGCGGGACGTTGGGCAAGCCACTGAGCCTCCCCGAGCCCTGCTTCTCACTGTGAAGGCCAAGTCCGGAGCCCTCCAAAGTCCCTTCCATCTTGCTGCCATCACTGACCGTGGAATGGGAGGAGGCAGGTCCATCTCATTGGGGTCGTTGTCAAGACACAAGAAGCAAATGATGATTAGACCGTGTTCACTTCCAAGTGCTCTGCAAACGTGAGGTGTTCTGTATAGTTCTGGTCTTGCCTAGGGCATGGGAGCAGAGTACTGGGCCCGGGCCGAGGACATATCAGTGCCTGCTCCTCTGGGAAGACGGTACACTGGACATCGGATGGAAGACACGCCACTGAAGGGGAGGCCAGAAGGAACAGCTTGAAGTTAGAAGCAAGTAAGAAAGCTTAATGGCATGCTCTCCTCCCTCTTCCCGAGAGGGAATGAGATGGCCACGGGGTGGCAGGGGGCCGTGGGGGGAATGTGTCACCCGACTGCCCCTCCGCTCCGGTGCCCGTGGAATGGAAGGACAGACAGCTTATTGGACTGAACACCTGTTGGAGCCAGGGGCTGTGGAGGGGGCCAGCGTGCCCTGGAGAGCTGTACCCAGCCCTCCTGGCACTTCCTCTCTTCCCCACATGTCACCCTCGGCGGGGGGGGGGCTGCTTTTCAGGGTTCTCATCCCACAGAGTCGAAGACTGAATCTCGGGGACACGAGAGGGTGGAGTGATAGTTTATTAAGTGAAGCTGAGAACAGATAGAAAGCTCTCTAGAGTGAGAGGGGTCCTGAATGGGTTGCCCTTTCTCTTCTTTAAAAAAAATTAAAGCATTTTTGTGGACCCCTAAAAGAATCGTGGACCCTGGGCCCTGCTCCCGGAGGCTGGAAAGCCTCTGCGGACACGGCCTGCCCCAGCCCAGAAGGGGGCAGGGGAAGGGACCCTCCCCACTGCGCTAATCCTTGAGCCCTGCTGGGGCTGCCCTGGGAGCCGCCCCCGAAAGCTCTGCCTGCGGGGATGCCGCTGCCCACTTGTGCGCCTGGCGTTGGCG